CAGCTAGCTGTGCGGGTCTATTTATTACATTGTGACCGGGGGATCACGAGGGCAAACTGATCGCTTATTGCAACCGCACGTAGGAACCAGTGTCTAATACCGTGTTCTGTTAAACTTCCACGCAGCTGCCCCGCCTGCTCTGCTCTGCACTCCACCCTGGGAGAGCCAAGCAGTGCGTCACCACCAGGTCACCGCGGCCTCGCCGCGCCGCGGAGGGCCGCTCCCGTGTCTTCATGGTCGTCTACAAGTAAGCGGAAGCTCGTTTGTTGTGGCTTCTAGTTGGCTTGTTGGACATTAATTTGGAAAAATGTTCCTAATAAAGTTTCGTCCCTGTTGCAGAGTAACCGTGAGGCACGCTCGCTCGTCGGCTGCAGCCCACCGGGACGTCCGCGGATCATCCTCTCGCCAACGTTTCAGCTCCAGTAGAACGTTATTCAATTATGTGGAGATGTTCAGATATGCTCGTTTCTCCACTTGCTTCTCCAGTCCCACTCCAGTCAGCAGGAATTCACTGCGGTCGGCGAGGACATCTCGATTCCAGGACACAGTTGGTGTTGGACCCGACACCCCGACATAGGTGTCTGCTATCAACTCAGCTTCGCTGCCTACCGGAGTATCCGGGAAAGGTAAGAAAGTGTTTCGCCTGGGCTCTGAGATCTTCCAAATTTACAATATTGTGCATTTACTACTTACTGTAAAGATTTTTGATTTCTAATATGTACCTATCCCCTGCTCAGGTTGTTTCTTGGCGACGATGCCTCCGCTTCCACAACTCTAACAGAATTTGGTACCTAATTCTCTGAAATAACCCGCCACTTCATGGATTCCTTTGACTGCATAAGAGTGTCAGGTAATTAATTAATACCTTGAATATATTCAAATATGAACATTCACTCTACTCTTTTCAATTCACTTCATGTACAGTAATTTCTGACCCACCATAGGACAGAAATTTGTCGTGACATCTATTTGTAGTCACCGGTTAAACTCCACTTGCTTTTCCACAGTTCCCCGTCAACATACATCAACCCACTTCGGTCAGCCAAGGTATCTCGACTCCAGGACTCTCCAACCTGATATTGGACTCAGCTTCTGACTCTGCTTTGCTGTCTCAGAGTAATGAGAAAAGGTAAGCGACTGTTTTTACCAGCCTGAGACATTTTCCATGTTTAATTTATTTTCAATTAATGATTTTTTGTCAAATGTTCTCTAACACCTACCTATTCCCTCAGGTTCTTTCTTGGTGACCATGCTGCAGGCCAACAGCTCCCACAACTCAAATAATTTGGTGCAAAGTTATCTGGAACCTGCCACACTTTGGATGCATTCGCTGCAATAGTGTCAGGTAATACCTTCAATATATCCAGATATGAACACACTTCACTCTTCAATGCACTTCATGTACTGTAATTTCTGATGCTCCAAAGGACAGAAATTTGTCACTGGCATCAATTTGACATCACTGTCTAATTTCCACTTATTGCTTTTCCACAGTTCGAGGCAAGTTCTAGTTCGACCCCCCTGACATCAGGAATTCACTGTGGCCAGCAAAGACATCTCAACCCTGTGCTTCCTGCTTCTAACTCTGCTTCGCTGTCTCCAAGAATAACCAGAAAAGGTAAGCAACTGTCTTCACTAAGCTTAGATATCTTCCATAATTTTAATTTTCTTTGAATTTATTATTTACTTAAATGTTTTTCTAAGTAACAATTATCTACCCCCT